CAAAATGAAGCTAATCAGCGCTGAATATTTTTCTTGAATTAATACAAAATAAATAATCCGAAGTACAAGTTACTTTTACAATGATTTGAAATAAAAAACACTGTAGGAATGTGTTTCTAAAACTTCCTGGTGTGACCCCTACAGGACAAATTTTCGTTCGAGCCCTCCTTAGAAGCTGGTGATGAGGATCAATGCGGGCTCCAACAGTGAGGGTTTATATTTTTTTAAAAGAAAGTAATGAAAAAGAAAAGAAACTTTTGCATAATTATAACACAATTTCTTGGTTTTATTTTTCATTTCATAACACAATGTTTAGAATACAAATTTCCACGAGGAAATTTCACAAAACGAGTCCTTTGTTGATTTTTTTTTTCAGAAATAGTGTTGCCTATATAATTTTTAAGCATTATAAAAAGTTTTTCGTGGAGATAGAATTGAAGATGCGGAGGGTTTCCACTAAAGTCGGCAAGGAGTCTGATTTCGGAACGAGGCCCCTGTGCATTCCGGCGATTTCCTTTTCAGATGTTCTTCCTCCTGGCGTCTACAACGAATTGGTTTCTGTAGTAAGAAGAGAGACTATTAAAACGCCAATGTTGAAGTGTTTTCTTTCAGAACGCACAAGTCATCCTTGTAAAAAAAAAAGTCGAGAGCCATATTGTCTAATAATAAAGAGGCAGCCCTGGTCAATAGTAGGCCTATTATGCGAGGGACATTCTAGGTACGTATAGAGCACGGACTTCTGTAATGGGCGTGATCTTTTTAAGACCATCTTCGTGTTAAGTAGGCTACATCTCTGTGGCGGACCTTTTTTTTTTTCACACAAAAGTCAATATAATAAGGTGCTATGATCGGAAGAGACTCGACCATTTTGAGACAAGAAAATAAGGATGAATCACACAAGAGACGTTTTGAAATATTTTCTTCAAAAGTTTTGACCCATTACGTTACATAGGCTACACCTCTCGCGAAAATGGTCTACATTTGACAAGGTCTTATTAGAAGATGAAAGGACGTCTTTTACGTAAGGTGTTTTGTTTTAATTTTTAAAACATTCATAACTATGTACATATAATAATATTCAGAGATGAATTATTAAGTACAATGAAAAAAAAAATTGTTTTTTACTAGATCTAGTTTTTAAAGGATAATGGAATAATTAGAATTTATATAAAATATTTATTTAAATATTTAAATATTTTTTGTTATTATACTAAAACAAAATTAACCATGGAATAATGATTTGACCACCCCCTAACTTCGGCCGCCTGCGTGCAATGCACACATTTCACAATGGGTAGCGGCGGCCCTGCTTCTATGTGTGTTACTTTGAATAATTTGGTAGGCCTAATGCTATGGTATTTGATGATACCTTGATTCATGAGCGTAGCCAGGATTTTTTTCGAAGGGGGGGGGGGGTTGGGGGGATTTTTTTCTTCCCCCCCCCGCCCCCTTTGCGAAAAAAAAATATAATAGTATGTATGTGTGTGTGTGTACATGATCTTTATAACATTCTGACCCTTCATTCTTTCGGAAGACGTTTATTATGCCCTAGAATGTTTCTTTCTGGAGATACTGGAAAAATTTTAGACTCCCCGCAATTGCCAGCAAGGGTTTTGGGGACTTCGCCCCGACGCCAAGCACTATTTCTGGTATTGAAAACCAACAAAATGAATATTCTGAGGTGTCTACAGTAAATTTTCCTGCTATTTAAAAGTTTTATTTCAAAAACCTAAAATGCATTCTTACTGCCTTACTGGCGACAAGTTGTACTAGGATGTCAACGCAACTCTTAGTATGCGTAATTCATTTTGTCGGAAAACATGTTCCGCAAACCTCATGCGATGCTCTGTTACAACCTTACTAAGGTGTCGACTCCCAATTCGGCATATGATTTCCTTGATTTAGACCCGATCTCTATAACTGACTCCTAAAATCTGTCTTAGCCATCTTTGTTGAGCCACATTTAGTGTTTTTCAATTTCGGCACATGACTATTCAGTGCACTTTATTAATGAAGCCCCGCCACTGGTAGAAATGTGTAACCTCTCTTGACTACGCTCTTGGAATTAGGTGACTGTAGTTTGCTTTAGATTTTATATCGAAAAGGGAAGTTTTATCGTCAAAATCATCTGTTGTGGATTTTAAACTATTTTGAAGATAAAGGTTTTCCCACCTCTTGACTACGCTCTTGGAATTAGGTGACTGTAGTTTGTTTTAGATTTTATATCGAAAAGGGAAGTTTTATCGTCAAAATCATCTGTTGTGGATTTTAAACTATTTTGAAGATAAAGGTTTTCCCACCTTAAAACTCTCTGTAGGGGGATTTTAAACTCAAAACCATCTGGAGGGGTTTTAAACTTTTAAGAAAAGCCATCTGTAGGAGAGGGGTTTAAACTCAAAACCCTTAATTGACTTGGCTACGCTCACATAATTTTAGTGTGTAATTTGCTTTTTTTATATTAAAGAGGTATTTTTTTAGCATCAATCCCAGCTGATAGGGGGTTTAAACTCAAAACCCCCTTTGGGAACTCTCAATGCATTTGGAGTGCGTAATTTGCTTTTTTTTTTTATATTGAAGAGTTATTTCTTTAGCTTCAAACTCCACTGGAGGGGAGTTTAAACTCAAAACCTTTTTGACTACACTCATAGAATTTTGAGTGTATAATTAGATTAGTTTTTAATATTAAAGAGGTATTTTTTACCTCCAAACCACGCTGAAAGGGGTTTAAACTCATAACTGAGTCAAAACCCATTTAGCTATGCTCATAAAATTTTAATTTTAAGTACATAATTTACTTTTTTTTCTTTTTGAAGATGTATTTTTAACTTCAAACACCGCTGAATGGGGGTTTTAAACTCAAAACACCCTGATATGGGTTTTGAACTCAAACCCCCTGGTAGGGGGTTTTAAACTCAAAACCCCCAGGTAGGGGGTTTAAACTCAAAACCCCCTGATATGGGTTTTAAACTCAAACCCCCTGGTAGGGGGTTTAAACTCAAATACCCCCTGGTAGGGGGTTTTAAGTGATGGTATAGTATTAAAATGTCACCCAAAATAAACAAAATCAAAGAAAAAAATCAATTACTGAATTCTAATCCCCCCCCCTGCTGGGGGGGGGGGTTGACCCCCCCTTGGCTACGCCCATGCCTTGATTAGTATATTATTGAATCTGGTCTATCGCTATTGAATATTAGGTGGGGCTAATTTAGCTTCTTTAATTATGTGGTGTAATTATATTATATGTATAACCCTTAAGGAACAGTCTTAGGTCCACTACTATTTTTAATTTACATAAACGATTTACCAAATTGCATTAGTTCAGGAACAAAAGTCAGATTATTCGCAGACGATTGCATAATATATAGAACAATAAAAACAACACAAGATACAGAAATTTTACAAAGAGAATTAGATGAATGAATTAGATAACATTGATACCTTACTGCTGCTATTATTATATATTACTGGCTATTTTTACCCATAATTTGTTTCAGCACTAAAAAGCTTCAAACGCATTATGTTTCATTAGTTTAATCTAGGTGTAATTGCTAACCACTTCTGAAGTTATTTAAAATCTATACGCGATGTATTAATGTCATCTTGTTGTATTGTTAGAGAGAGATAGAAGCAATTTACGTTAGGGGCTTTGTTTGTCTTTGGAAGAAGCCTCGGGCTCCAAGATGTGTTGATCCTAAATATAGAATTGTCGGTGGGGACTGCTGTGGATAGGAATGTGAGCGCGCCAAGGGAGGGGCGTAATTCTGAATGGTGATGCAGAGACCAGATAACAATACTCACTTAAAATTTCTTTTTTTTTCTTTTTTGGAGAGGTTGATAGTCAAAGCAGACGTTACTCTGGTATCTGGCGCTGGGTGGGGGTTCGTAGTTCGAGTCCTCCTCATGGCTTATCTCTGTTTCGCCCTATTTTCGTCACCGTCTACTTACAAAAACCTTGGTACCTAAGTGCTGCAATTATTATATGCTTCATGTCGTGTTGACTCATAGTTTATTTCAGCACTAAAAAGCGCTTCTAACTCATTTGTGGTGCAATAGTTTTTAGTGATATATTGATACTAGCGAAATAATTGGGTACCAATAGCCTGTTTAAAACAATGGAAGTATTTTTAAAAAAAAATTCCATATCTTATAAATCACAGACGTTTCTTTAAAAAAAAAAAGATAATTACGCTCTACGTGTTTCAATGTGTCTATTCAGTCGTGTATGTAAATCAGAGACAATTCTACAAAGTCATTGGTTTTCCCATGAGGCGCGGTGTCCTAGTGAAGACTGGGATTTTTTATTTCGGGACCTATGGACGCCTCTGAGTCCAACTAGCTTTAATGGGTACCTGACATTAGTTAGGGAAAAGTAAAGGCGGTTGATCGTTGTGCCGACCACATGACATCCTCATTAACGGTGGGTCACAGAAACAGATGGACTTTGCATCATCTGCCCCATAGATCGCAAGGTCTGAAAGGTGACCATTACTTTTCTTTTATTGGTTTTCATGACTGATTTAGGCAATACTCTAATGGTACTACAGAAGATGGAGCACTTATAAGAATGTTTTCCTAGTATAGTGAATAAGAAATATGCTTTTATCTTTGTGCTTCTGAGTATTTTATCTTACGTTGAGTAATGTAATGTATTCCCTCTATTCCCCACCGTTGTCCTATTCAAACTTTCGGACTCAAAGTCAATTAGCATCATTCAGGATCACCTCATTAAGATCGCATAACCCTTTTAGAAACAAAGTTTTACACAGCAACAAACTGGTTGCATCAATGTTTAACACCACATATCGCCATCATCGCGGCATCTTTTCAAGGCTACTTCAACAACATGGATGTCACTGCTATAAGGTGACATTTGCTTGTGCATGTTAGTGTAATTAAAATGTCTTGTTTCACTTTGAATTTTGGTACTATTTGATGTCGCGTATGTTCAATCCATTGCAGTTAGTACAGAACAACAGATATTAAAATTTATCAACTAAAGTCTTGATTAGCAGACATATTTATTCACAATAAAATAAAAGTTCACTGGTAATTCCAGCCATAAAGAATTACACATGATGGTTCAAAAATCCAATGAAATATTCTAAGTTCACAAGTAATACTAAATTATTGAATCAACTACGTAAGACATCCATCCAGTTTAAGAACATGGCGACTACTACCTCTCTAACCATATGGGTGACTCTCAGAACGAGATTTCCTGCCCATAATTCTCAATTAGGTTTCACTTTCACGTGAAACACAACCAAAAGTTCTACTTCGTGATTCTCACTAATTCATGTCACAAACAATGATGTGACAATGGACAAATGAAATACTTGAATAGCTGGACACGAAACTGGAACTAGGATAAGGATTTAATGTTGAGAAATCAAAGGAAATACGGAAACATTCATTGCATGAAATGTTTAATAGTTGTCAACAGTTTATATTATAAAACAAGAAATATATAAAATATAAAAAGACAATATCTTCTTTAATCCAAATTATAGAGCGATTAATTTTGCTCTTAATAACTTACGAAGGTTAAATTAAAACAAAAAAGATTTTTTTTCTTTTTCTACATTTAAAAATAATAACGGTCAAACTAGATTCCCAGTGTGTGGCCATAGGGCTAGTCATTTTTTTCCAAACGATATACATCAATTGTAAAATTTCTATTAAAAAATCGTTAGAGCCGTTGTTGAGAATAGTCTTCACCCACCCTGAAGGTATATGTACAATAATGTATATGCATAATGCAAATATTAGTATAACACATTTTAACAGTTAATGTAAACAAGACCACTTCTAAGATGCAATAAAACTTGTCCTAAATACCGGTACAGCATTCTACAGACTGTGAGTACACACTTATGAAACTCCTATGTCACCACAAGATCACTCTACTATAGCGTTGATCGCACTATATACAAAGAACATGTCTTTTAAAATGAATAAAAGAAGAATATCCACAATTTTTTGTTCTGCTAAGAATGTTAACCCTCTGAGTGTGCAGCCGTCTCGATGAAAAGAAATAGTTATAATTACTTTAAAAAGTTTACAGCAGCATATTGCGCAACGTTAGGGGCTAGACCCTGGTGTCTAATTTATAAATCGTATTTGATATCTGTAGCAAGTCAATTTCCATGTCTGTGAAAAACTAACAGGAACATTTGTAGATGCAACGTGACAATGTATGTACACTGTATAGGCTACATCTGTTGTACAAGTTTCAAGTGTTCCTTCAGAGTTGAAGGTTATGACATCCTAGCTCAAACCTCCTGCAGGACGCAAAGGATGGCGGCGGACATGGTTAACGAACTCGAGGCCATCGAGACGACAGTCTCCAGCGCATATCACACGACCATCCTGGGTTAGATCTAAGTTAAGCTAATTATGGCACTTTTAAAAATAATTTTGTTTAGTTTAGCCCCAACTCTCTCTACACGTGCTTAGTTACACAGCAACCCAACAACGAAAGTCAAGGGACAGAGATGAGGAATGTTTCTTAGTAAAGAAATAGAAAATTATTACGACTCAGGTTCAGCTAAAATTAGTGTTCATATCAACTAGGTGTTTAGGCTAACTTGGCTAAATCGTTAGTACTCTCGATTTATTCTGGCACACTTTTTAAAGTTTGGTACGTGTAACCAAAGAGTTCTTACACGAGTTTGTCTTGTCCTATGGAACAAGATTTATGTTACTAAGTTAAGAACCATGTTTGCTCAAATGGATAAGATGATTCAAATCTTTCACGTTAAATTACTTAACAATCAATTGAAACAATCAATTGAAAGAATTTCAAGTTTGTTACTTTCAAAGATAAAAGATAAACATTTTTAACTTGTATGGATTAGTACTTTTTTAAAAGATACTTTTTTTTTAAATCTAAAAATTCGATTACTCCAAAATTATATACATACATCTTACATAGTTTAAAGTGGATACACAATTTTGAAAACTGAAAAATCGATGCAATAATAAATTATAACATTGCATACTAAGATCTGCATAAAATAATGAATAACAAATGTGGCATAGAAATATTACAATTAAGGTTATTTATTATGCTAATTAAACTTACCAAATTGTTAAAGTCGAAAATAAAAGCTGATATCACATTGGTGTAGGCACTGAGTGACTCTGATAAAGAAGTTGTTATTGTATTTGTGTGGGCACTAAATGACTCTATTGTGTTTCTGTGGGCACTATATGACTATTTTGTATGTGTGGCCACTGAATGACTAACAAGAAAATAATTAGTGTATTTGTGTGGGCATTGACGGACTTTATTGTCCATTAAACACATTCAGTCGGCATAATGTTGTAATTAAATAATAGACAAAAATATACTACCACATATTAATAACATATAGATGGTTTTGATGATAATACTTGGTTTACTTAAAATATTCTAGGTTAGAATTCAGGCATTTCCCCAATACCAGATAGAAGGCAACTCACTTGATATGAGGCGTATCTTGGTAAAACAAATAAAAGAGTACACAAAGTCAAATCTAAACCTGGTTTTTTGTTTTGTTTTTGATAAACTCTTCGGATTCATTTTGAACTTGGGTTTTGGAAATGCATGTCACCACACCCCCATCTTGTTATGGTCATATTTAAATTTATTTGTTTGGCTTTTAGGAATACTGTTATAAAAAAAATAATCATCTTGAAACACGCGACCGTAATTATTGTATGCAGTCAAATGTAGGTCAGGTCAAGTAGGTCAGGCGAAGAGGCGGCCATATTTATTTTAACAAGATACACAATTGTAAATTTATCTTTGAGCTCATGGCTGGAATGTGTCGTTTCAAACTGTAGCAGAAGATATACTGAAAAAGATTTATTGTTACTCTTTTCAAAGCAAAATTGAATTTAAAAATATAACTAATTTGCATTTAAATGTGATGTAGGCCCTAGCCGATTAGCTAAAATATTCACTATAATTTTTTTTATTATGCCAAAGGAGAAGCGATACGCATTCCAATAATAATAATGATAATAATAATAATAATTTTATTTATAAAGCGCTGTTAACAAACAAAATGTAGGCTCGAGGCGCTGTGATAACATTACAAACATAACAGAGATGAGAAATGAAATTTTGTTATGAAAATAGATTAAAAAAAACAACACTCAGCGTTCGTTAAAAACTTTTTTTTTTTTTACAAAGCTTATATTAACTCACTCTGTCTATATGTCTGTCTGTCTCTTTCTCTGTGTCCGTCTGCCTGGCCAAATGTTTGTACACGTTAATTAATAAATAAATATAAAATCAATGTTAGTCATACAAGGTCTACACTTAACCAACGTTTGCATCAAGTCTCACTGGGGTCTCAGGGAAAGAGTCTTAGAAAGTAGACAGTTAAAATAAAATGAAGTACATTAGCAGGGCCGAATTCAGTTTTTTGTTTATAGGTCCCTATAGGTCCCTCTTATATTCAACATAAAGCCGTTTATCTTTTGCTCTTTTTTTCAGCATAATTGAATTAAAATATCTCTTGAACCTTTTGTTGGGGCCACCAAGTAAGTGGGAGCTCTAAGCTATAGTTTGTTGTCTATAGATAAATCCAGCATTGTATATTATAAATTTAACTTAATTAACTCATAAACCAGATTTTCTCTATCCAGTGTATGTGAAGTCATGAGATAACAACTGGACTGAAATATGTGATCTGCAAAAAACTTTCCATAGTTGTCAGAAGGTTTACACGAAAAATGACACGACTATTGCAAAACGGGAATTACAGTTTAAAAAAAAAATTTTCGAGATTGTCACTCAGAAGTCAGGCGTTATAAAGTGTGATAGTCGAAAACCCGTATTACTTTAATAAAATAACATTAACAGTATAGACATATTTAACAGAATTTGATGGCAATTTGTTAGCGTTGAAAAAAAAGTCACACATATCATTTACACTACAGATCTACATGGAAGGTTGTAAGTATTGCAAATGGCTGAATGGTCAATTAACAGAAGGAAACCAGGAACAAACACTTCTCCCTCGCAGCTAATTTAAGACTAATGATCGTTTAGCTCTTGCTCTCGGTCAGCTCTCACTCTCTAGAGTGTCTAGACGATCAGCTCTCACTCTATAGAGTCTCTATACTTGACAGTATGTCTTGAATAAAATTTGGGGCTTCCTGAAAGAAAAAAAGAAAACATGACTGCTAAAAGAGTCACCATGGTAACTGTGCTTTAGATATATGCAATGCTACCTGACACAAAGTATGATTCTCGAGAAGAGGACTGCTTTCACGAATTAAGGGGGAAATGTTTCAATGTACAATTCATGAATGGAATTTAAAGCAGAAATGAATAAATCTCTTATTCTAATTGTTTTCAGACTGAAAAATATATTTAGAAAAAAGGAAAGTGAAAATAAGAAGCAGGAAGAGAAAGAAAAGAACAATAGAAAAAGAGTTATGAGAGAAACATATAAAAAGAGAAAGGAGTAAGATGAAAGAAATTTAAGGAGAGTGTATGTGTGACAGAGAGAGAGAGAGAGAGAGAGAGAGGGAGGGAGAGAGAGAGAGTATATGAATATTTAGAAAACATAAATATTAAACATTTTGTGCTACTAAATATAAGTAATTCCGCTTAACGAAAAGAACATGATAATTTTGGTTAGTTCACTTAATAGTTATTGCAACTCAGACATGTCATGTGGAAGTCTGAGAAAAATACTAAATGTCAAATGGCAAGACAAAATACCAGATACTGAAGTCCTTCAAAGAGTGTGTCTGCAAAGCATCTACACAATCGTGATGCAGTCCCAGCTGCGATGGGCAGGTCACGTCTACAGAATGGAAGACCACCGCTTCCCTAAACGACTCTTGTATGGCCAATTAAGCGAAGGAAAGCGCTCGCAAGGTGGTCAAAGAAAGCGCTTCAGGGACACCCTCTAAGCTTCTCTGAAGGCGTTCAGCATAGACCCAGGCACCTGGGAGACAGAGGCACATGATAGAGCATCATGGCGTTGCGCTGTGAAAACTGGCGCACAGGTTGCTGAGGAAAAAAGAACAACACTGGCAGAAGAAAAACGCCAGCGAAGAAAAGCAAAGCAAATGACACTAACTCCAGCTGGAAAAACCTGCCAAGTGTGCGGCCGAACATTCCGAGCTCACATAGGTCTCACCAGCCATATGAGGAGGCATAAAATCCCAGTGCAAAGCCCTCAGCCCCCTGGATGACAAAGTGGTCATCATCGAACCACGATGGACGAACTATTGCAACTGTATCCGATAATTTTTTTTTTAAGGACTACAACTGATCCTTTCCTTTTCATAAAGCCAACATACTCATGTTTAATAGCACAAAAAGCACTGCTAATTACACTTAGTTGTTCTAGGTAAAAGTAAGTAATAATAAGTTTAACTTTTCGTCTACCCCATGGGAAAATTATTACGACAAATTTCAAATACAACAAATTTCTCGCCTTTAATACTATTACTACTACTACTAATAATAATCTTTATTGTCCGTATGGAAATTTGTCTTACAATTAGTGCATTACACCAAACAAAACATTATAACTATAAAAAACAAAATGTACATTCACACCAGACTCACTCATAATTTACATGTGAAAAGTTTATATCAGATTGTTAATCATTGTTTCTATTTAATGATTTGATTGCTAGGGGAACAAAAGAGTTTTTGTGTGTCTTGTTAAACAAACAAAACTCCTCACGGCTCAGAACTTCACTGAGGGAGTTAAGAAACACTTCTCTAAATATAGTACGACATAGCTCTTGTAGAAACCAAAAGACATTTTTTACAGTGCTTTCTTACCGACAATAGCCTGTCATTGTCAATGTCGACTGTGATAAGTGTGAAGAGAGCCATGTCTTTGATTGTTCTGTTATAGTGAATGCTATTTTGAATGCTGTTAAGTCCGTCCACTTCCTGGCGTACCCTTGCCAACTCGAGTAGTTTGACTCTGCCAGTTAA